GTCACGGCGAACTGACGGATGTCTCCATTAAACGTGAAGCCTCCATCCTCCTCCAGGCACAAACCCGGTTCTCCGCAGAGAACAGAAAGCAGAGCGAGCAGCAGGATCATCTTGAACCTACAGCAATACTTCCTCTACACAGCGAAGTCTGGCACGGCACTCGGCGCTCTCTCTCTGACGTGGTGTCTCAAGACTTGTGCGTAAAAGCGCAGCGTGGGTCTAAAAGCTGAGACGAATACTGCCTTCCGAAACGTCCGAACAAAGCCTGTTCGGCTTTTTTACATCCTGTCAGAAATTATATCTAAGAGACAAGTTAACAGTAGCAGCCTCTCTCTCAGTGCCATGAAGTCAGAAAAAACTAAGGAAGACAAGACACATCCTCTTTCTGACGTGCACAGTTGTCAAAAGTGTGCAACATTTTAAGAGCAGCACTCTCTCAGTGTCTTCATTTCCGAAAAAAAAGTTTCGCTTTGTACCCCTGCGGTGAACAGGAAGTAGTTCAGCGTTGTATTCTTATGGCAATATTTCGCTGCATATGTGTTTGTGAGTACAAAAGCCAGAAATAGTTACAACTATACCCGGTCTCCCCTGTTTCTGGCATTTGTTGCTTTCGAGCTCTTTTAAAGTAGTGGATGCAAAATGTAATGCAAACTATTTACATGTCTCTGCTGTTAAATAGTACAGCTATTTTCTCAGCAATACAATTAATACTTGCACGGTATGGTCTCAAACACAAAGAGTGAAATGATACAATTAACCCCATAGTCTGGGTTAGTTGTATGTCCTGTAACACAATGAAATAAGGGTACTGACAAAATCTTAATATTTAATCATTTTTATTCAAAACCTTAATGCACGCACACACACACAGCTTCAGTGATCCCTTGCTCTCCTATGTAGCAGCAGGGAATCACCACTCCGACGAAGAAAATGTAGTTGTGCACCAGCATCTTCATTAGTACAGGTGTGGGGGTTTTAAAACATATTTATAGGACTTTGTTTCTGAGTGAAACAAGTGGTAAATGGCTCCACTGCAGGGGAGCCTGGAGGGAGAGGTGTGTGTGTGTGTGTGTGTGTGTGTGTGTGTGTGTGTGTGTGTGTGTGTGTGTGTGTGTGTGTGTGTGTGTGTGTGTGTGTGTGTGTG